CATGCAAATAACTTTGCTTTCTTTTTAGTAAAAAATTCAATATAATAAAAAAGGAATCAATATTAATAATACACTGAATTGACTGAAATTATATGCTGTCTTGTTTAGTTATTTCATATACGCAAAGGGCCAAAGGCCGTCGGGTTTTAAAGCAATTATAAAATCAATATTTAACACAAACTTACCTTCGTTAACGTCGGCTCCCTTCTTTTAGCCGATTCTTTCGCCGGTTCTATCTTGAAATTTACAAAATCTTGCAAAAATGCGAGTAAAATTGAAGTATATTTGCAAGAAATTTATCAATCATCAAATCTGTGATCAAATCAAGAAATGTTTGCTATTTCGCTGTCGTCATACAGTCGTTATGATGCAAACTTTAAATTGGACCAATCAGTGTCCGCTATTCATGACAGTCCGCCATATTTTTGAGATCAGTGAGGATGACCACCCACTCAACACCGTTGGTCACCCACGCCCGCGATACTTGGTGAACTTTAGACTCCGCTAATGCTTTCGTTTCCCCGGGTGTAAATAGCCGGGGGGAATTAGTACCCTCGCACGGCGCTTCGCGCCGTCGGCTCGGGGATGATATTGCAAATGACGAAAGTCATAAGCTTTACCAATTACTACCAAGTAAGAACTTTTCAAATTATAATATAAGGAAAGAGAACATTTTTAACGTTTCTATTAGTAGGACGAATAGATTTAAAAATAGTTTTATACGGCATAATTCTACAATGTATTTTAGATAAAGTAAATATTTATATAAGGAAAGAGAACATTTTCAACGTTTCTATTAGTAGGACGAATAGATTTAAAATAGTTTTATACAACATAATTCTACAATGTATGTTAGATAAAGTAAATATTTATTGTAAAGTTAGAAGCGTAATTCAACCCGTGGGTTGTAATGTTTTTAATTAATTAAACTATCTATCTCTATCTATCTAATTGTACTCGCCATCGCATGATTACCTATACAAATTCAAATTATCCAATCAGGAAGCTTAGTTTTTCCACGTGAGCATGAAATTAATCGCGATATCACGCCTTACGTCATGGGGTGGAACATTATTCGCGTAGAACACGCGAAACAACACGCATGGCAACAACAAGGCCGACAAAATACAAATAGTGTTGATGAGTGATGAATAATCTGGGTAAATGAGGTAAAATCTGAGGCTTTTTCAAACTTTTGTAGCAAATTTTGAAAAATGTTGTCATTAATATTCCAAACGATATGTAATTCGAAAGAAAAGCGACGATACTTGCGTTAATCCGAAAATAAAACATCGTATTCACGAAGGTATGTGTCAAGTTTTCAATTCTCAACTTGGAGGCTTTTAATTTTCGGTATAATATATCATTTATAGACCCTCCGCTCGGGGGATTCGCCGGCGAAATATTACCCTCAGTGTTGATATTACTCTCAGTGTTGAAATATCATCACGTCGGGCAATATTCGCCGTATCCCCCTCGCTCCAGGTCTATAAATGATAAATGTTATTTACATTTTTTGTTTACGTACACCTTTGTTTTGACTAATTACATCGGATTGGGTTTTTTTTGCCACGTGATCGCTTTCATATTAACTATAATATAAAACCTCGTGTTATTTTCCCGACCCTGCTACTTTCTTCCCGACGAAGGACATTCGTTCGAAACGTCGAATTTCTCCTTGTACTGTACTTTTCAAGTAGTTGCATCCCTAGCAACCGAAGTATTCTTTCAGTCGCAGCTATATGTTACAGTTCAACTACATTATAAAAAGCATCCCGCGAAAGCCCTCGCCGCATCAGACATCGATCAGCGCATCGTTTCGCCGCCCACTCTATAAGCGTCCTGGTAAAGTATACGGCAAACGCTATACATATAGTCAAGTGATTCCTTGCGGGTTGCTGTTAATTTAATTAAATATAACTAACGACTATTTCCTTAATTATAGTTTTACCTTACGCTCCTTGGTGAGAAAGCAAGTGAGAGAGTACGTTCAGCTGCTGTTCCCTATGTGCGACCAATATCGTCAGGTCAACAGAGTTTTGGTACAACACCAAGTGAATATCCTTTGACTAAACCAATGACGAAAACAACAGCAAAATTACAGGTAAACGTAGCCTTGACTTACCTAAATGTGAGAACCGTCCTTTAAGATATGAAAAAAATAGTTTGTTTCAATACACGCTTCCGAAAGTATACGTGACTTCAGCCGTAGAGCCTCTTTCAGTGGTTGCGACGTTGGACTTCAAACTAACGCCACGTACACGAAAACGAGACTCTGCGGTCAAGGTGATGTATTGTCCGAACGGTTGTATTCAATTTCATAACGTTTGCATATTGGGATCCGGTGTGGGAACTGTATCCGATTTTCATAGTTCAAACCTGGCCAGGAAAACATGAACAAGCAGTATATTAAGATCAAGTAAACACCACGCATTATAATTAAGTTTTATTATATAGTATAGGTAATAACATGGTTTGGAGTGCAATTTGTGTATAACATGCACGAGTGAGTTTTTGAAAGAGCATCAACATAGCACGAGTCCGAAGGACGAGCGCTATTTGAGGTACTTGAAAAACTCACGGGTGCACGTTTATCCAAATATCACGAGAAACCATGCTATTACTTAATCATAATTTACATAAAAATGTTCGAGATAATTGTAATTTTAACTTACGTTTATAGCGAACCGTCCACTGGTAAAGTTTTCCTGGCATTTTTTCACATTATACAACTCTAACAGCTCGAAAAAATCAAAACAACTCTTTAAGTTTTATTAGTATTCTTTAAGGTAAGGGCTTTTCCATTTAAAAGAAAAGGTGAAAGTCATATTTTCCAACCGAAGTCAACTTTTACTTTCTCCAGCGCGGCGCCATGTTTGTTTTGTTTTGAAGCAATCTGTGCCGTTACTTCTCCAAACTGAACTACTTTAAACTATTAGTTGGTTGACTTTATCATCACATTGTTTTTCCACCAATCAGATCAGTTTGTTACAGATTTTTGCATTTTGATTACAGAAAATTGACTGTGATTACAAAAAATTGCACTGTGATTACGGAAAATTGCACTGCTGTTTGGGATTAATTGCACTGAAATCAACCAATCGCGTACAGTCGAGTAATATGTTTTATTACTCGACTGTAATGTTTATTATTATATGGCTTTTCAAAATTCTCTATTCTGATTGGTTGACAAGCGAGCCGTAAAAACCCATATCCGGACCAGGTACACAGGTTTAAAATTATTTAAGATTATCTAAAACTATTTAAATTATTTAATTGAGATTCTTAATTCCTAAAAAAAATGTTAGAAATGTCTTTTTCCCCTTAAGTAAATTGTTCCATAGTTTTGTCCCACTGTATAAAAACGCTGCCAAACAGCTGTCCAAAGTTGGACATCTACAGTAGCTCATCTTTCCGTCTTGTTGAGAGGTATGGCGGAAACTTGAATGTCATAACTGCCTCTTTATAAGGCAGCATATAACAAACAGGTAGCCAGTTAATTTGACGTAATGCAGGGGCTGTATGGCTATATTTACGCGTGCGAATTCCCGCAGCAAAGCTGTGCATACTTTGTGGTTTGGCGATGTTGTTGTTGTTGTTGTTGGAAATGTTCACCCACACAAATGAGGAGTAGTATAATGTGCTGAATATCAAAGCCTGTGTTACTGTTATCAGAGTGCAATTGTCTGAAATATATTTAATTCGATTTATTTGACTCGGGGGCTTTGTCGGTGACTGGGAACGAACAGTGACTATTTTCGTCGAGTTCAGCACATTTTTTTGAGAGCACGCATTTTGTGAGAGTCAAGTGAGAATGTGAGATATTTACAGTGAGGCGATTCATACTATTAAGCATTCCTTTTATACTTTAATTTGCGAGTGGTTTTTAGTTTTTAGTGAAGTTACGAAGCTTGCTTTAAATTTTTTTCCTGGGAATATTTTTCTAAGACGAAGTGGGGCCAATTAATACACGAAGAAACACTGATATATATACATATATATATATATATATATATATATATATATATATATATATATATATATATATATATATATATATATATATATATATATATATATATATATAATTGCCGGCCAAACAGCTACACTTTGGTTTAGCGTTTTTACACTTTGGTTTTGTTTCGGGAGAAAACTGTATTCTTCTGTGACTTGCGGCTGTTTTGCTTTGTTTTCTTGTTTATTTTTCACTATTTTGAATCAAATTTCCACCTATTTGCAAAATACGAGTCCACAATCATGTTAAAAATGCTTGTCAACGGTCGTTAATTACTACTAACTGTATGTAATTTTGTTTTTAAGCGCGCCACGCACAGTTAACTACATGATTACTATTAGTTAATTAATTAATTATCCGACTAACTACGTTTTGTGCATCGCAGTTACATCATGTAGTTAACTAGCTACTGTTATGGATTTAACTGCGGTAGTTAACGCTAACTGCAGTTAACTTTAACTACGTTTTTATACAACCGGCCCCAGATTATGAAAAGCAATGCGGTCGACAGCAATTGCCCGAGGATAAAACTTCAGTATGGAAATGTGCAGAATTTGATATGGGGATTTGGTGCTGACTCATACAGGGAGCGACAGGGGTTTGGATGATTTATAACTTTCCAGTAGACTGACATTTTCACGAGCTATAAGTTCCAAATCTGAAAATATTCCGTCGAAATTCCCCTACCCCGTAGAGGACTTCATTCCGGTGGTAGAGGAATTCATTCCGAACCGTCCACTGACAAAATTTTCCTGCTTTGTTATAAATATAAAAGCCATATTTTCCACATCAAGTCAAATTTTACTTTTTGTAGGGCGGCGCCATGTTTGTTTTGGTTGGAAGCAGTCTGTGACCCTTACTTGACGACTGCTTTATACTGATTGGTTGCGGTTTTTTTCATCACATTGTTTTTCCACCAATCAGATCAGTTTGTTGCAGATTTTTGCACTGTTATTAAAGAAAATTGCAACGAGGGTATTACAAGCCTTTTTAAGTTTTCGTTTCTTTCACGTGTGGTTTTTCCGGATCCAGCTGTTCTTGGTAGAGCACTTCCATCGATATAAGTATGGTTGTTAATTATCTTATAGAGTAAGGCCAAGACAATAAGTTACTGGTAGTAAATCGATCAAGTTGATGTAATCTTGTTATGTACGAGACATTGGTGAAAACCCAGTATTTAAGATGTATTTGGTTGCTCTTCTCAATGGTATACATGTGTTTACCTTTATATTTACAGGCTTCTGGTGAAGCGCAGTACACGGACGATATACTCAAACAAGGAGGAGAACTCTACGCTGCATTTGTCACGACAACACAGGTACGAATATCCAATGTAATATATGAAATTCATTTTGATAACGCAAACTCAAACTTGCACACTCCTAGTTGAGAAAAAGCTTCGTCCACATCCCAATGAACCTGCTGAGTCTAGTTTATGTTTAGTTTAATTGATGGAGGGGAGGCTATGTTTTCATCTTCGTTTGTAAGCGTGTGAGCCTGACATTGTGTGTGTGTGTGTCTGTCAGCACAATAACTTAATTAGAAAGATCAAATTAAACGTATTAAGAGGACATTTTTTAATGTCCCGTATTTGCGACCAAATTTAATGAAGTGTTCAAAACCTAAAATCGTTCCGTCATTCCTCTCAAAATTACCATGTTTTAGCTTTCTTTTGTGGTTTACACAGTTAGCAACCTTCTTAAATGTATCTGGCGGTTTATAAAGTCAAAAAAGTCAAATATTGACGTCAATAAAAATAGAATTATCATTCATGCTGTAAAATTGACGCCCACAGGAATATAAGCAAAACTTACTGAACCTCAGACAATTTTTTAATAATCATCTTTGGCGTACCATGTAAAATCTCTTCATTTTAGCATAATTTTACAGATAAGGTCGCTTTAGAAACGTATCAAAAATTTAAAAAAATATTGAATATAGTCATAACCAAGTGGAAAAGTGTATTCTTTATAGTTTTGAGTGCGTGTTAATAGGTATCATATGGCAACACAAGATTCTCTTCTTAATAACAGGTGGGAAAATTGACTTAGCATGCGCGAAAACAGCTCGGGTTTTCAGCGGGAGAAGAAGATGCGTGCTTCCACTTTGTTGATTTAAAAAAACATAAATAACATGAACGAAGCCTTCGAAAGACAATTTTGCAGCGGCTATTTAGCTAGGGCCACAAATCACCACAAAAATTGGATTCACTAACAAAAAATGTTGCAGTAAATACTTTGATTTCCTCTATTGTCACATATTTTACAATGTAAATTATTAGTATCGATTATTTCAGTGCAAAACAAAACAGAGCAAAAAGTTTCCTTTTAAAATGTCGTCTGATAGCTTCAATAAAATGTGAAATTCAAACCAAAAATACTAACACTTCTTCATTTTTTACAAAGCCAAGAAATTTTGTATCGACTTAAAAATGCTTTGAAATTTAATGTAAAACAGCGATATTTCGTTGGCACAACCTGTAACATGACAAAATTCGTGTTTATAGAATTTTGAACGAGCGAAAATTGTGTTTAAAAATAATACAAAGTTAACTCATTTCGAAATGAGGGTCAGTATCGAAAAATCTGATTGCTATGTTTATCTGTTTTTAAATACTTTGAAAACCTAAAAATAATATTTTAAAACTTTTATAGTAAAATACATGGCATAATGTTTATTCTGATGCTCATTTTCTGAGTCGCCTTTTTCGTATAAATCACACTAGCACATGAAATTCGCCAAAATTCAGTACTTTCTTCATTTTTTAGGCGAGTTTACATTCTATTTCCAAAAACTAGAAAGAAAAGCACACATTCTCACCTAATCATATTTCATTGGCACAACCTGTATATATGAGAAAATTAAGGTGAAAACAAGCAATTTTAGCAAAATACCTCACATACTGAAATTTGACGATGATCGTTGGCGCACACTATCACTCAAAAACCAAATACTTACACTTTGTACTGGACAACAAACGCATTTACTGCAAATTTCAAGTAATATTCCATCAATATTAAATTCCTGCTCGAGGTTATTTGCCACAGAAAACACACACTTTGCAAGAAACGTCATTTTCGGCCATGTTTCAGCGAAGAATTTTTGACTGCTAATTTCCCGATTGCGACAAATAATTGTGGTCTTGATTAACGTTTATTAAAGTTTACGTCTGCTAGCTTTCTTTTACTATTCCTCTGTTGCAGTGCGAGAAACAGGGTAGCGAAATCTGTGTTTTTGTTTTTTCACAATTTTTGCTAACCAAAAGAAAGCGTCCGCGATAAATTTGGTCAGCGACGACAATTTTCCCACCTGTTCCTCTTAATACGAAAATTGTGACTGAATGGATGGACAATGTCCTAGGGGGACGTTAATGTGATTAAGAGTAAGAAACCTTTAATAACGGTAGTTTTCCCACTGATTTCGTTGGCATAGAAATGGAAAATGTTAATATGGAAATTTATCCTTGAATATCAGGTTGATATTTTGTGTTTTTAAGGGAAACTGTAAACTTGCAAATGTGGACGTATCGGAAGTTTTGGTAAGAAAGTTTTCACTCAATCTATGCATTTTTTTTTATTTGCTTAAGAACCGGTTATTAGACAATTATAAGGAGCAATTCGATAATACCTTTTCATATAGATACTACAGTTTAGCATACAGCTATTTCAATTAAGATTGTTCACGAGCAAAGCGGAAAAGTCGAATACGAGCGCGAAAGGCTGCTGGGAATCACTCACAAATTAATGAATTTTCAAAGCGATTCTCAGTAGCCTTTCGCGCTCGTATTCGACTTTTCCGCTTTGCTCGTGGACAACCTTAATTGAAATAGCTGTATATTCTGGAGGTGGATAGTATTTTTCGCGATATTTGTCTGGATATCCTAGCACTCTTCGCTTGCGGACAAAATCAAAATCGCTTCCCGTTTCGTTACGGTGACGGACGAGCAACTTTTTGTACTAAACGAAGCTGGGGTTTTGCCAAACGAATAAAACAGTGTGTAGAGGCATTCTCTCATAAAACCGTAGAATTGTTTATGTACACTTTAAGTTTTGTTTACAACTATATAATAGCGGAGCGCTGAAATACAAATTATTTAAAAAAAATTTTTTGTCGTTTTTGGTTAGTTGTGGTATATGTTAAAACAAAGTGTCGGTGAATAGTGCAACGATATTCACCTCAACCACCCCCGGACTCACCTCGAAAATTTCAGATGTTTTGTCCTCCCCGGACCTGTCGAAAATTTTAGATTTTCTCCCCACCCCAGTCCTGTCGAAAATTTCAGATTTTTTTACTCACTTAACCAAACCGCCTTAACCAACTGAGCTGCGGAGAGACTATTGTCCAGCTCTAACCACAAGTTCATGTATAAATCCCGAGCTTTAAGGCCGTTTTCTACCACAATCGTATTGTATCGTAACGTATAGAAGATTTTCGTTTGTATCGAAGTCATTAGTTCCACTGTAGTGCGCAGCAAACAAAGAAGTAGGCCACGCTTCGGTAATCGGTACGATACGGTTGGAAGTGGAAAACCACATTTACACCTACACCGTACACCTTAGTATTTGTATAGGTAAGCGAGTACTCGCCCCGGCGGCTCGTCCAATTTTGGCAAAATTTCCAAACATCACTCGTACTATTAATCCCTAATTGTACGAACAACATCGCATGCATGATTACTTGTTTATTATTAGCTTCTCAATGTTAATATCATATATTCTCTTGCTAAAGACCAGTCCTGCCAGACTTTCAACCAAAATTTGGTGCTTTTGTTCAATTTCAAAGGCAATTTCATTTCACATGGGCAATTTCATTTCTGATTTGTGTTCAAAATAACTTCCCGCCATTTTGTTTGTTTTGGAAAAATCTTTAATTGTACTGCAGTACAATTAATGAAATAATTGTACTCCTCTCAACCAATCAGCATCCAGTAATTTTGTCATGCTAATAATAAATACATGAATTTGTTCATCTGGCTAGAGCCCTGTACCGGAGTGGCAGGAATTTCGATTTCTGCCATTGGGCCGGTAGTTACATTTTTAATGCGCAACTGCATGCTCCTGGTTTGTTCTAATAAACGTATTCCACGCGAAATTTCCATCCATACAAATCACTGCAGGACACCATTGTTTGCGTTTTGCGGAAAATCGTTACTGCGGGCTCAATATCAGTCCGATTGTAATCAAATTTTCACCAAATGTTCGCCGCCAGTGCATGCAAAATATGATAAAGTTGTAAAGTTGACAAAACAATAAAATAATGGGAGAATTATTCAGGAAAATCTTAAATCGCGGTACCTTTACGCTTTTAATTACGGGAACCACTCAGTATTTTAAGAAAATACAAAATAACAGTAACTCCGAATAACATTTTGATCTTTACTCGACGAGTACTTTGTAGTCATCCTCAGGATTAATAATAGTGTAAAATTACAGATGCAGCTATTATAAAGCCAGAAGGGCGGAGCTTAAATGCCAGTTAATTAAATATGAGGAGTTCTTTGGAGGCGTTCGCACCGTGGTTGAGATCAGGTTTTCGTCTGCGTATAGCCAGTGATCTGAGACCAGTGGTCTGACCTATCAATTATTTTACAATTTTTAAATATTAGTTCAGTTAAGTTAGTGTTTATAGTGTTAGTTGAGTCAGGTGAAAGTTCCATAAGGGATTTGATGTGTTGAAAATGTTCGCAGCAGTTGATGTGGGCGTTGATTTCCGAGTTTTCTCGCGTGCTATGTTCTTTCAGACGGGTGTATAGACAGCGGTCTGTTTCACCAATGTAGCTGCTTCGACAATTGTTTCCAATTGTTTCCTGTCCTGCAAAGACAAAACACCAGATGAATACAAAAGCTCCGTTGTTTACGGATTTTCATGTCCGGGTTGTCGAATCAGCTACATTGGTAAAACAGACCGCTGTACGTCTATACACACGTCTGAAAGAGCGTAGCACGCGAGAAAACTCGGAAATCAACGCCTACGTCAACTGCTACGAACATTTTCAACACATCAAATCCCTTATGGAACTTTCACCTGACTCAACTAACACTATAAACACTAACTTAACTGTACTAATATTTAGAAATTGTAAAATAATTGATAGGTCAGACCACTGGTCTCTGTTGCTATTCAAGGAGTCTCTTGCTATACGCAGACGAAAACCTGATCTCAACCACGGTGCGAAAGCTTTCAAAGAACTTCTCATATTTCATTAACTCCGCCTTTCTGGCTTTATAATAGCTGCATATGTAATTTTTTACACTATTATTAATCCTGAGGATGACTACAAACTAGTCGAAACGTGGATTAAAAATCAAAATGTTATTCGGAGTTACTGTTATTTTGCATTTTTTTTACGCTTTTGAGTTCTTTTCCTGCTGGTTTTAAGATATATTTGTGAGAATATTATTTGATACAGTAAAATAGTTGTTCTAAAGAATTGTGTTAGGAATTTTTTGTTTATTTCGTCATTCCATTCTTATTATTAAAATATCCAAAATTAGAAAAAAAGCCGAGGCTAATTAGAAACCTCTATAGCTATTTCATGTGAAGATGTAAGAAAGATTCGTTAAAACCCGCAGAAGAACAACTCGTTTAAAAATAAGTAATTGCCTTAAAATTTTTCCGGAGAAAATTGAATTTGAATATTACATTTTCAACGTTTTTCTTCCTTCAGCGAAATGTATATTATTATATATAACTGTGCGAGTTTTCAACATTTTTCGTTCAAACTTGGTCTGATAGTAGAACTGGTCTAATGCTTTCAAGGAAACCAATTCTTGGCAAAATTAGTACTCAAAGGTGTTCTGTAACCTTAAGGCGAATTGATGCATTAGGCAGTAACATAGTTACAGTATGCCCGTGGAAAGCATTAGCGATCTGAAAAATATATAGTGAAAATAATGAGAAAATGAAGATATAATGTGGTGGGATAAAAAGTTGTTGCTGATGTCCTCTATACGAAGATGTATTACTGCTTTAGAAAATTCCTGGTGTGTTCAAGTATATTTGTGCCGAAGATATTCCTGGAGAGAATAATTTTGTTGCTGGTTGCGCTATGTTCAATGTCACCAAAGAAAAAATATTTTGTGATGGAGATGTGGACTATGCTGGTCAGGCGGTTGGCCTTATCGTTGCAAGTAAGTAAATTGCGGTGCCGAAACAAAGTTAAGGATCGCATAAAGCCGGGTAGAGAAGAGCAAGTTTTCTATGACAAGTTTTCATGTGGTAAGTTTTATTTCTCAATTGCACGTGCGTACGTACAACAAATTTTCTATGACAAGTTTTTGGTTTTCTGAGCGCCACGACTGAGGCCGTAGCGACCGAGGAGTGTGCGGGTGAGGTGGGGGGCAACACTCCCCCCCCCCCCC